TAAACGATAGGATGAATGTAAAGCTTATGTTCTCCCATGGAAACGATCACATAATTCACAATAAAACATTAAAAAAAAAAAAAGTGAATGAAATAGTTGTTGTCTTCAAGGAGCTTGCTGTCTAGGAGAGAGAGAGAGAGACACCTCTGTTGATGTACCATCTTGCACTGAAGCACTGATAACGACAACAACATGAAGGAATTTGGGAGTCCTGGTGTGGTACTGTAGGATAAGCACTGGATTGCTGACCACAAGATCACCACTTCACAGTCCGCAGCTGTTCCTTGGAAACCCAGTACAGGGTCGCCATGAGTTGGAATAAACTCGACCACACTTACCACCACCACCACTGATAGAGATTAGCTCCCACTGTAGCTTCTAAGAAAGGTTTCAAATACAATCTCCTTCAAGGTAAAGTCAAAATCAACTTATTTTTGGATCTTGATATCAAACTTAAGGAAATTCTTGCTTAATCCTGACATAATTCTCTATGGGCCTAATGGATAAGGCATTTGTCTCCTAACCCAGAGTTTGTGGGTTCACATCCCACCAGGGCACAAAGTATTGAATTTAGGGATTCATGCTGTGGTGCTGTAGTATCAAGCACTGGACTACTAACTATAAGGTTGGTGGTTCAAGCCCATCAGCCACTCCTCAGATACCCTATACAGGGGGCTGTGAGGCAGAACCAGCTGGTGAAGGAGAGATCCCTGTTCTACTTCATTCTACTGGTTTCTCTGGTAACAATGATGGTTTTAATTGGTTCATATTGTTTCTCTAATACCTTACCTTCATACTTATCTTCTTGTACTGCGGACAAGCTGTGCTTCCCAGTATATGCACATATGTGACCCACTCACCCACCACCACCACCACCACCACCCTCAGCCTGCAAGTCTCCCTGCATGGCGCTGCTGAACTGCTTGTTCTTCTCCACCTCAGGGTCAAGTCCATGCTCTTGGAGCACGCCTGACTCTACCACTTCTATATTCATGTCTTGGTTTGCTCAGGCAAACCCACCTTCTCTCACTTTCAGATCTTCCCCATCCTGAAGTAAGAAGATCACTTCATTGTTTTTGTCCTCTCCCTTCCACCCTGACTAACTCTGTTGCTGCACCATTAACATTGATGTTATTTATTGTCCATGTGTTTCTCTTCCATGAGGCTGAAAGCATTTAGAGTTCAGAGACTGAACTTGTGTGTCTTTGTTTCTGCATCCCCGGCACAGTGCCTGACAAGAAGAAAGTGCCCAATTAAAGGATGGTGGTCAGTGACAGAAATATACAGGGAAGGGAGGAAGCTGTGGATACCAGTCACCGAATGTATTCACTCACACCATCCATGACCATGAAGGTAGCCCAGGGTCGGCAGTATTTTGTTTGGTTACACATACACTTGGCATGCATTGGAGACAGTTTAATGGCAAGTAACAATGACATTTACTGAGCTCTTATGTCAGGCTGTCAAAATACTTGTCAGTTTTCTCTCTCTGTCTACAGCTCAAGAAGTCATGGATACTATCATTATCCCCATTTTATAGACAAAGACATGGGGAGTTAAAGTTCCTGTCTATCACATTAAGGAGTTTGGAAATAACCTTTTTTGTTCCAATGAAAACAGATTTCAAGAGACATTATAAGATTTCCTTTCCTTACTAAAGGAAACACAAACCTCTTCCTCCTTAAGCCTGAGGTATAGATTTGTTTCCTCATAATTAATCCCTCCTAGAACCAATTCCTTTGTCTTTTTTGGTAGTCTGCACCCTGTGTGTCTTTCTGCAATCAGACTCTCTCTGTCACTTGGCCCACATAACCCAGTGCTTAGCGTGAGGACTTTGGCAGGCCCCCCATGCTCTGTGACTTACGGGAAAGATGGTTGAGGGGCTCACACTGATTTTGGTTCTCATTTTCATCCTCACACCTTCAGGTACTGTTATTGTCCCTGTTTCCCAGATAAGGACAGGGCTGAGCCCTAGTCACTTTGACCTTGAGTTCTTACTCTTGACCCTCATGGGCAGCTCTTCCCACTTTTGGGCCTTACTTCCTAAAACCATGATCTTTCTAGTCTCTAGAGTCCTAATGTGGCTCTGTAAGATAAGCACTGGAGTGCCAACCACAGGGTCTGCGGCTCAAAATCAACAGAAAATCAGAAACCCTATGCAGGGTCCCTGTGAGGTGGAATTGACTCAGTAACAGTGTGTTAACTACTTCATCAGGAGCCCTGGTGGTGCAGTGGGTTAGGCTTTGGGCTACTAACCACATGGGTTAGGCTTTGGGCTACTAATCCACTGTCCACTCTGGGAGAAAGATGAGGCTGACTGCTCCCCTAAAGATTTGCATTCTCTGAAACCCTATATAGGGTTGCTATAAATCAGGGTCAACTCGATCGCAGTGGTTTTAGTGCCTGTTTCATTAACTTTCTGAGTCCAGATGACTTCCCAGTTAATACATTATAGAGGTCCTGAAGGCAATGTGTACTTCATAGAGTTAGCTTATCTGACTTAGTTCTAGGACTAAACTTTTTATTTTGCCTTTATATGGTATCATTATTTAATATAAGGTGGCTTCAAGAAGTTTGTGGAAAAAATTCCGTTGTCTTTTGATCCCAGTTTTCCATGAATTTTTGAAGCTCCCTTGTATTTAAGACATACTCAAGTTGTTTTCAGGTCTTGATAAATATAAACAGCAGCTACAAAACAGTTTATATTGGATGGTACTATTGGTGTGACAATCCCACTCATCCCCTGCCCGTCCCCCTCGAAACAGGAGAATTAAAAGGGGCGCAGGGAAGGAGAGGCATTCCAAAGGCAGATGAGAAAATGGGTAAATGATTTTTTTCTGTCACCTCCAGGATATGAAACTGCTCAAATACTAAATCACCTAAAATTCTGGCATCGTCTTTCTGAGTATGTTTTCTTGCTAAAGTGTTTTCGAATCACTTTGACTCATAGTGACCCTGTATAGGTTTCTGAGGAGCAGCTGGTGGGTTTTAACCACCAACTTTGTGCTTAGCAGTCCAGTGCTTATCCTGCAATGCCACATTCATTCTCCCTAATAACATTGCTTAGAACATCATGAAACTGACTCTTAGACATCTTTTGGCATACCTTTTAAGAAGCCAGCAGATTTCGAGCCTTCTTATATTAAGGCCACTGTAAGTACCTAAACTGGGAGGAAGATGAGACTTTCTGCTCCTGTAAAAAGATTTATAGCCTTGGAAACCCTCTACAGGGTCAGTATGTGTTGGAACTGACTCCAGGGCACACAACCACTACCAGCACCATGTACAATAGAGAGCAACAACAACAAAACCCCACCATTGGGTCAATTCTGACTCATAGGGGCTTCCAACGCAGAAGTCTTTCACAAGTAGACTGCCAAATCTTCCTGCAGAGCAGATGGTGGGTTCAAACCTCTGACCGCTTGGTTAGCAGCCGAGTACTTCAGCCATTATGTCACCATGGCTCCTTAACCACCCATGTCTAAATAGTTCCTTTTGTCTTTCTGTGCTGTGGACATGTATCTCAGGGGAAACTTAATTTTGGACCCTTCTCTGATCAAATGTTACTGCTAAGTAAGGCTGGATTTTAAATCGAAACAGATGTTTTCCATCCAATTGGTTATTAGGAACCAAAAGAGAAGACAAAACAATGAAAAGAAAATTCACTTGGCAGCATATTGTTTAAAAGAGAGAAACATACTAAACAGAGTCTCTATTTCTATAAAAAGAGACCCAAGAGCTGAGATAGACAAATGAGTAGACCGGGATCCTGATAAATAACATTTTTAAAGAGTGAGGCCCACATTCTAACCACGTTGGGATATGGCTCCTACATACTATCTCTGTAGACCACACTGTCACTCCACGAAACGTTCCCATTGCCTAGAGACTGTAGGCATTACCTAGCTTCCTGAAAGTTCATGGATTCTAGAAGGAATGAGTAACTCTTGAAAACTCGCCCAGCCAGGGAATTTGAGGAGAGAGAGAGAGAGATAAAAGCTCCCCAATAGGGGAACATTTTTGTTGTCTCCTGTTGAAGTCCCTAACTTGCCTAGAGGAGAAAGAGGGAGTTGTCAGAGTACAATTTCAGGAATGTCAGGAGCTGCTTCTTGGTTACTCTGTTGCTGATGTAGAACTCAAGAGGGTTCCATGGAAGACAAGGGATCAGTCATTCCTCACACACTGAGAAATCTGAAGCCTTAGGAATTTTTGCTGATGGATTTGATGCCCTTCTAATCTGAGAAACCTTCCCGTCTTCCTAGCCAGAGACACATGGAATAAAACTCTGATGGTGTGAACAATACCAGTGATAAATGCAGCTGTCAGAACGTTTGCCAGGAGTTCTGTAAGGGCACATGAATGACTGCGAACAGCTGAGTCTGTCTTTTAATTCAGAGAAATATATTCAAACTTCTTTGGGGACTTCGACATGTTGTCTGTAGCCAAAGGCTCCTAGTGTTGAATTATTAGTAATAGTCTGTGTTCTAGAGAAATTAAGCCATTCCCTCACAATCTCTGTTTCATGCAAGTACTACAGCAAGGGTTAAAAAAAAAAAAAAAAAAGTTCACGAAGGCATTAGCAAACTCTAATGGTGGTTTGGTTTTTTCCAAACATTTAGAACACAATTTCTAAACATGGCTGAAAAAAATGACCTCAAACTAATGGGGCATCATCAAACAATGGCCTCTCAGGTTAATTAAGAAAGCCAGAGCCCAAAGAAATTCTTAGTAATTCTTTTTTTCTTATTGCCTGAAGGACTACAGGATAAAAATGTGGTATAGATGTTTAGAAGGGGGATGACTTTCAAAATTGTGGTTAATAAAAACCAGCTGCTATAAGAAAATGCTTTTATTTAAATTCCAAAGAGATTTTTTTTTTTTAATTCTAAGTTAAATTTGGATCTTCAAACCTCTTAATCTTATATATAAACTGGCTTTTGTATATCCACATTAAGCCCTTTAGTGGCTTTTGTTTAATATGTGGTGCTGTAGGATAAGCGATGGACCACAAGTCCATGGGTTGGTTTGAACTGCAAGGTCAGTGGTTCAAACTCACCAGCCGAAACTCAACTCTGCAGAAACAGGGTCACTATGAATCGGAACCAACTTGATGACATTTAACAACAACAACAATAACAATTTAATATGTGAGCAGATGGTGAACTAGAGAGTGGAACGGGTCAGTTAGTATTCATTCTTTTGGTTTTCCATAGAAAGATGTTGGCTCTCTCTGTATGTTAAGCAATATAATTACGGCGGACATCTAATGCCCATCTTCTTTTTTTTCCAGCTGACTCAGGTGTAGACTCCTTGGCAGTGTTTATGGCCAGCAGCGGAACCACAGATGTCGCGAATCGAAACAGCCCAGCCACTCCACCAAATACCCTTAATCTCCGTTCCTCCCACAATGAACTGTTGAATGCTGAAATAAAACACACAGAAACCAAGAACAGCACACCCCCTAAATGCAGGAAAAAATATGCACTGACTAACATCCAGGCGGCCATGGGCCTCTCTGATCCAGCCACACAACCCCTGCTGGGGAACAGCTCTGCCAACATCAAACTGGTGAAAAATGGGGAGAACCAGCTCCGGAAAGCTGCAGATCAAGGGCAGCAGCAGCAGGACCCCAACAAAAACATCAACCCTGCTGCAGTCATAAACATCACTTCTGAGAAATTAGAGGGTAAAGAGCCCCATCCACAGGATTCCTCTGGTGGTGAAATTTTACCCTCCCAGCCCAGGAGAACCAAGAGCTTCCTCAATTACTATGCAGACCTGGAAACCTCAGCCAGGGAACTAGAACAGACCCTGGGCAACTGCCATGGGGTTGTGGAAGAGAAATCTCAGCCAGGCCAGGGTCAGGCTGCCACCATCCTTGGGAACGGGGATTTGCTGCTGCAGAAACCAAACAAGCCCCAGTCCAGCCCTGAAGATGGCCAAGTCGCCACAGTGTCATCCAGTCCAGAGACCAAGAAGGATCATCCTAAAACAGGGGCTAAAACTGACTGTGCTCTCCACCGGATCCAGAACCTGGCACCGAGCGACGAGGAGTCTAGCTGGACAACATTGTCTCAAGACAGCGCCTCCCCCAGCTCGCCGGATGAAACAGGTATCCTTGGCAAAAGGCTAGCTTATGATGGCACTGTGTGATGGTTGTTGTCATTATCAGGAAGTAAATTTCCAGACTGAAAAAGTAGATTTCCAGACTGAGAAGAATCAGAGCCTCTTGGGGTAAAATTAGGTGATTTGTGTGGAAAATATTGTTAGATTTTTCTGCCGACCATAGTTTTGGGTGAGTTTTTTTTTGGGTCACACATAAGCTGCTGTCTATTCTGGTAAGCAGTTTTATCATAGAAATAAATATGCCTTTGAGATTAAGTACAGTAAGCCATCATCTGTTTAGAAGGTATACTTCTAAGTGATTGGGAGTATTTCTGTATTATTAGAAATGCTGCGTTTTGTTAAGCAAAATAATTAAATAGAGTTATGGGGGTTGAGCTTAAGAGAAGCAACTCTTAAAAGCCTCAAAAGAACATATTTATGCCTAAGCTGATGTAAAGTTTAAAGTTTGTTTTTAAAGATGTTTTCCTTTTGGCCTTTCTGGGGAGTGTTCTATTTAGTGTTGTTCAAGTAGTTCGAAGTTAAGTAAAAGGTATTTAAAACACATACAGTATTTGTATGCAGATAATGTATAGCATTATATGGTTTTTGTGTGTCACCCAATCCCCTTGGCCTTAGGTTCCTATGAGCACTAAGCATGTTATATGTGTATGTTATTTACACGGTGCCTTATATGTAAAAGCAATAGGTTCAGAAGTTTAGGTTTTTAATTAGTATATTTAAGACCAGTCTTTTTATTTGTTAGTCTGTTTTACTTTCATCTACATTTGTGAAATCTTTGGCTATGTCAGAAGTGTCAGGGTTTTGACAGAAACTTTTAACCTCATCTTTGGATAGCCCTGCTAAGCCCTAATAAGATTTTAAAATATGAAGAAAAATTTTATATGCAAATTCAATATAAACAAGCAGTCCCTAAGAATACTTACTTAAAGTATCCCCAGCAATTACCCTAGTGGGTCCCAAGGCTATGGTAATGTGATTCATATAGAGCAAAAAGAACAGAGAGAAGCACCAAACAAGAAAAGAAAAATCCCACCCCCCCAAAAAACAACAAACCAAACCTACTGCCATCTGGTTAATTTGAGCCATGTTGTTGTTGTTGTTAGTGCCACTGAGTCGATCCCGACCCATAGCAACCCTGTATAGAGTTTCGAAGGAGTTGCTGGTGAGTTTGAACCACTGACCTTGCAGTTCAAACGGCTTTGCTGTCTGGCGCATTAACTCATAGTGCCACACCAGGACTCCATAGTGGCCCTTTATAGGGCTTCTGAGGCTATAAGTCTTGATGGGAATAGAAAACTTTATTTTCTCCTATGGAGCGACTAGTAGGTTTGAAATGCTGACTTTGTTGTTAGCAGTCCAGTGTTTATTCTATAGCTGTAAATCTATAAGGTGTAAAAATCGCAACGAGCTTGAATAAGGGAAAGAATAGGAAGACACTAAGATGTACAAAAACAGAACAGTTTTGAGATGCTCTTTAAAATCCCAGTCATTTAAATAACCTCTCTCATCAGCCCTCTGTTGTTGAGTTGAGTCTGTTTCAACTCAGAAATGTCTAAACCTGTACATTATTGGACTCATAATTGTGTTTAGTAACATCCCTGAATTCATAATCCTATATTACTTTGGACCCACTTAGTGAATTCCTATCCTGTAGTTGACAGACATTGTCACCTAGTACTGTGTGACTCTGCATCAAAGTTTCCTAGAGTATCTCACAGCTAAGCTCCACCTCCTGGTTTCTCTGTGGTCCACTGAGGCCTCAGTGTCTTCCTCTGGTCTTGGCAGCTTTTCTTCTACTCTTGCAGGCACAGCATGTTCTGTTGCAGTTAAATTTCTAATTTACTGAAAGCTATTAAGTGAAGTGTACACCCTTGCCCTGGTAGTCGAGTGGGTTATGAGTTGGACTGCAAACCACATGGTCAGCAATTCTAATCTACCAGATACTCTGTGAGAGTAAAATGAGGCTTTCTGCGCCCATAAAAATTTACAGCCTTGGAAATCCTATATAGTATTGCCATGAGTCGAAACTGACTCGATGGCACTTAACAACAACCAATCAACATTTTTAAAATTTACCCAAGTTATATAGTAATGATATATATATTAAAGAGTCCTTACTCTCTAGAGGGGGTCCCTGAGTGGTGCAAATGCTTAATGCATTTGACTGCTAACCAAAAGGTTAGAGGTTTGAGTTTACCCAGAGGCACCTCAGAAGAAAGTCCTGGCAATCTCGTTCCTCCAAAGCAACCATTGAAAACCGTGAGGAGTGCAATTCTACTCTGACACATATGGGGTCATCATGAGTCAATATTGAGTCTTTCACAACTTAAAAAAAATTTTTTTTACAGATGTATACCTAAGTAACAGTTTGTGATTTTCTTCAGAATTATTGTGAAGGGAATAAAAAATGAAACGGAAGTCTTGGTGTGGCACTGTGGTATAAAGCACTGAACTACAAGGTCAATTTGAGCCACATGGTTGGTGGTTCAAACTCAACCAGCTGCTTCCTTGGAAACCTCATACAGGGTTGCTATGAGTTGGAACTGACTCGATTGCACTTAACAGCAACAGCAATAATTGTGAGCACTGGGGCTTGGGTACATGAGGGTTCCTTAGCTTGTTTTCTCTTTGAAATTTAATATATTTTTTAAAATGGTTGAAAGAAACAAACAAAAACACTACTCAGATTAGATTGTTTTATGAATGGTTTGCTTTTACCACTTAGAATCTACTGATGTTTTGTAGATTAGACCAGATCAGCACATACATACAGCTTTTCTACCCATGTTTTAAATATGAGGACTTTCAAAAAGTTTGTGATAAAATCCCATTATCTTTCAGTTCTGTTTTCCACAAACTTTTGAAACCCCCTCATATGGTGAAACCTGCACAAGATGGAACATAAGGTGGCAACGTGACAGAGAAGGAAAACTCAAATATTTTCCATACCAAAAAAAAAAGACAATAGAAAAGTGGTTAGACTACACAGAAACTTTTCAGGACCTTGAAAAATGACAGTCCCATTGCGTTCCGGCTCTCACGGTTTTCTTTGTATCATGCTGCTATTCCACTGCGGTAAAGGTTATGGAGTGACTCTCTGATGAGGACTTGGATTGCTCCTAGTCACAACCTCTTCACTTATGAGTGCTGGTTTCAGATAGAAAGGATCTGTGCAGAGCGCCAAGTCTAGGCTGAGCGAGCGTGTGCTTGCTGTTCCATCTACTGGGCTTCCCTCTCTAGAAGCCTTTTGCACTCCTCTCTGCTATTTCGCTCACCACTGGTTCACTCGGTATCCTGCTGCTGATTTGTGTTCGGTTTCTCCGCAGACCCATTTTAGTGCTGGACTGTGGGGTGAGAGTTTGCTGAACTGCTGGGAAGATACACTCAGTTTTTACCTTCAGAGTTGATTTTGATGACTTGTGAACTTTAAAGTAAGGATGACTGTATGCTGCTGGCTATTTCTGAAGCCATCACCATGGCTTCAGATTTGGAGTCCCTGGGTAATGCAGATGGTTAATGTGCTGAACTACTAACCTAAAGGTCTACCAGGGGTGCCTCAGAAGAAAAACCTGGCAGTCTGCTTTTGGAACATTTGGTATTGAAAGCCTTATGGAGTATAACTCTACTGTGACATACACAGGGCTACCAAGGTGGAATCAACTTGATGGCAACTGGTTTTCTTAGTGAATCACTAAAGGATGGGTATTTTGGCACATAATACTCATTAGAATGTGTTAGTTATAACTAAAGCAATTAGTTTGAGTTTTTAAAACACATTTGCGAAGTTAAACCTGTGATATCCTGCAACATGGTTACTTTGGAAAGAACTGTGCTATTTTGTCTACAATCTCCCAAAATACTAATAATTTTGGGAACTCTTTTTTGGAATTATCTCAGAACCTGTTGTGAATTCCTACTAAAAAGAAATGTTTTTACTTCATGAGCATACTTAAGAGTTTCAGGTAGCAAACACTGCATACATTTGTGAGTGAAATAAATTAGGTGATTATTCACCATTGGTATTTCTCTTAATTTCATATTTTCATTGAAACATACTGCTAGCTAGATCATTTTAAATGATCAGTCTGATTAAACTGAATATTGTGTTTCATTTGTAATGGTGAAATTCATGTTCATTATATATGTTTTGTATATTATGTATGTATGTTGTTGTTAGCTACCATCTTTTTTTAACCCCAGAAAATGAGCTCATACAGTGAGTACTCATATGGGATTAGCACAACAGACAAACTTTAGTATTTATAGTAGCTGTACAACTAATGAGAGCTATTGATTTCTTTCCAAGAAATTAACAATAATTTTTGTTGTTAGGTGCCATTGAATTTGTACCAACTCATAGCAACCCTATGCACAATAGAACGAAACACTGGCCGATTCTAAGCCAACCTCACAATCGTTACGCTTAAGCCCACTGATGCTGCCACTGTGACAATCCATCTTGTTGAAGGTCTTCCTCTTTTTCTCTGACCCTCCACTTTACCAAGCATGATATCCTCTACCAGGGGCTGATCTCTCCTGATACTATGTCCAAAGTATGAGAGACGAAGTCTGGCCATCTTGGCTACCAGGGAGCATTTTGGCTGTACTTATTCCAACAAGGATTGTTTATGCTTGAATAGTCCACAGCAACTAACAACAGCAACATATATTTGTGTGTATATGTACGTTTATGCTGTTGTTCAGTGTCTTTGAATCAATTCTGACTCAGAACAAACCTGTATAGGGCTTCCAAGGGTTGACTGGTATGTTGGAACCACAAACCTTGTGGTTAGCAGTCCAGTGCTGATCCTACAGCACACCACCGGGACTCCATGTATACATGTGTGTGTGTGTGTGTGTGTGTGTGTGTGTGTGTGTGTGTATCTGTGTAAACTGACTCAACGGCACGTAACAACTTATGTATATATGGAGCACCGTGGTTTTGTAGAAAAAGCACTGAACTGCTAACAGCAAGTTGGCAGTTCA